TTTCATCCTACAATCCCATTTCTTCATAGCTTCATTTCATTCTCTCTCACTCTGCCTCCTCTCGCTACATATATGCCATCTATGTCCATCACCACCATTAGAAATTCTGCCATCCTGAGCATGAACATTCCACAGTTTCCCCCGATGCATAACAACAAAATTTAAAAGAAATTTTTAAAATAAAAAAGTACACTATTATACAATCTGATTAACCAAATTTATATCCTCTTACCCATCACCTTGCTGTGGACATCCTTCTACAGGCTCAACTTCCAAAAACCTTTCACCCATAGGATCCTCACCCATTTGTTCGTACACTTTGTGATAGTCCATTATTCTGGGCAAGAGGACTGTTATGCATGCAACATAGGACCTGATATCCCTTAGTGAATCACCTCTTCTAGCATTAGAGTTGTACACTCTTACCTTTCTTTGCTTGATATCTAGTACTACCAAAACCCAATGATTGCCAGTATTCAGAGGGAAGTACACGAAGTCTGCCTTGCTCCAGTGTAGGCTATAGTAGTTAGAACCTATTATGTCACGTACAATGTTTTCTTCTTGTACTGACTTGTGGTATGTATAGTGCTCCTTTGATATAGTATCAAGCTCCCGTTTCAGTATTTGTAAGAAAAAAGGCTCAGTTGTGGTGTACTTTTGTGGCAGTTTGTAATGCACCCGTTTCATGCCCAAATAGTACATTACTACATCAACATGTTGTAAAAAATAAAACACACATTTATCAATTACAAACTAATTCAACTGACTTTTAATGGCATTCTATACAAACAAACATATATATAAATGTATACTTGGGAGTAAGACTGACAAAAATATAACATTTTTGAATTTACCTTGTCAGTGATCCATTCTTGATTCATAAACATGTCATATAACCATGTTTTTATTCCACTTTCATAGTGTCTAGCAAGAACGGTTTGTGAACCATTTTTTCTTCATCCACTTTGTACCTTCTGCCATTTTTTTTTTTAAATTCTTCAACAATCTAACTTGGAGGTATGCTCTCACCCTCTCTATTTCATTATCTGGTGGGCTCTCTGTTGGATCTTCTGTGAAAGGTCCAACTATTTTCTTCAGTGGAGGCAGAAATTCATTGTCAGCTCTTTTCTTACCCTTTTCTCTCTTCCTCCTCTTTGGCGAATGCTCAGATGGAGTGTACTTCACTTGTGACCTAGCAAAATGCTTTTGTTTGGGAAGATTCTCCTGTTCCTGTGGCATTTCCATAATATATATTATTTATTATACCTTTCTATATTTATTGAAAATGTATTAATACACTCAATGTCATAGTAAAAAATAATCATAAAAATATAAGCATTATAATCAATTTGTAAAATATTGTGTCATTCAAGTCCAGACAATATTACATAAAATGTTTTGAGATTCTTAAAAATCATATATACAATGGTGATATGTACGGCTGAAGTCACTAATTTGTCAGTTTCATAACTTCACATAAACTGTATGTCACATAACTTCACTAATATGTCACTAATACTTGGAATGTCACTTTTATGTCAGTTTCATACCTTCCAAATGCTACTTGAATGTCATTTTATTGATTTTTTAGTTACCTGATTAGGCTTCATTATGATTGATGTACATGGATCGGAAGAATAGCTCTCAAAAGCCTTTTTGGCCACTTCATCTGCAGTTTTGCAAATCTCTTGGACAAATTGACTATTGTCCTGTGACCCCATCCCCCAATCAGATTGAGCAGTTTTGTCCATCTCTTGAGACTGACTCAATATGTTAAACGTAGGCATGTCACATACTACATCTTCATTGTTCTTCTCTACCTCCTCAGTATTCTTCTCTTCTTCATGCAAAACACCAGCATCCTTATTCCCTACACCCATGTGCTCGGTCTCTACAACATCTTTATCTACAACAACATCCTCATTTTCTGCACCACCATCCCCAGTATGTACAAAACCATCCTCAATCTGTGCACCAATGTACTCAGTCTCCTCTTGCACATGAATGTCTGCAGTATCATCATCCTTTAGCTCAGGTTCCTCATCATTCTCGGAATCTTGCTCAGTCATGTCATCATCTTCTTTTTCATTAACATTTTCTTCTTCTTCTGGACTTTCATTCTTTGCAACTTTCTCCGTTCTTTCTCTTGTGTCCTCATCTTCACCTTTATCACTACCTTGTGACATCTGTTTGACAATAAGTAGAACTTCTTTTTAAAAGATCTTCCTGTTTTTTCTGAGTTTGCTTAATGTTTTTCATTTCTGCCACTAGTCTGGCAGTCTCCTTAGCTTGTTTCCTCATGCTTTTATGTATACTGTTACTATGTTTGCTCATGAACACAATATATTTCTCTCCTTTTCTTCCACTATCATTTGAATCATCTTCTTCATCCTCACTCTCAGTGCCTTCATCACTCTCTGTTTCCTCATCATTTTCTAATTCCATCCTAATCTTCTTTCTTCTTTTAGAAGTTCCCTCACCAGATTACCTTTGCCCTTCACTACTTTTCCTGTTTTCCTTTTCATGCTTCTGGTCTTTTTTGCCTTTTCTGCAATAGCTTTCATCTTTTAAACATCTAGTCTCCCCACATTTGGAATAACAATGTCCATTCCATGGTCACCTCTTCATTGTTTCCTCCAATCATGGCAATCTCTTCTTCTGTTGGTACGATCTGTGTCCACTCAAACTAAACAAATACACTTTGTTAGTAAAAAAGTTGTGTGCATAATCATCTAGATATATTTAGACTATTAAAACTAATACCTTGTCATTCTTGAATATTATTTGGGAAAGCACCTTCAGTGCAAGTTTTTTCTTGAATTCCCACTTCAGTGTCCTTGGTAAGATGTTTTCTCTGCCCTTTATTAGCTTGCACAAACCAGCTTTTGCAAGTCTTGGGAATGTCTCAAATGCCCACCATTGTAAAGCCACCATGTACCCAGGGAATGTGACTCTGTCCCCTTTGCCTTTATCTAATGCCTCACAACTTAGTTTTATTTTGTCAACCAACTCGTTCCAAACATCATCACCCCATGGGTAAGCATTGAATGCATCCAAATTGTTTACCAGATTTATGTAGTATGCTTTCATAGGCCTGGCAGTTTGATTCCCAAACAAACAATGGGACAATATGTGTAGTAGAGCGAGCTTCACTCCATCCTTTGTCATTCTTCTTTCATCAGTGCTCTCATAACTCGTCAATGCAATTTGGATATCTGCACGGGACACTGTAGCCTTGTTCCCAAAATATCTTCTCCATATATCTCCCTCAGGCTCCTCTGAAATATTTGGCTTCAGACTCCCAAATTTTAAACCACACATTGTTGCCATACCAGCCTTTTGAAAACTAATTACACTGTTTTGAATATGAAATCTGATGACACTGTCATCTGCATTTCCATTAACTTCAGTGACATAGTTTCCAACAAATCCTAGCAGTAGTTGTCCACTATTCCAAGACATCTCTTCAATTTTTAACATCCAACCAAATATGGTGTTACTGAAATCAGTCAGATCCTCAATGCTAAGACATGTCCTTATTCTTTTAAAAACTTCAGCAACATTGCAGTAAGAATTGACACGCAAGTTTTCCAAGTCCACTAACATTGACTTCTTAAAAGCTCTTGTTATTGTCTGTCAAGTTCACACAAATATAGGCATTATAATCAATTTGTAAAATATTTTGTCATTCAAGTCAAGACATTCATAAATAACATGGTAATATTAACTACTGAAGTCATTAATTTGTCAGTTTCATAATTTCCCATAAAATGTGATAATTCTTGCAATTTCACTTTTCATTCAGAATGCCACCATATTCTTCTTTATTTTGCATTATGTTGTTTTATAACAACATGACACACTAAAAACTCACTAAACTGACATTAATGCGTCAGACTTTCAATTTCCAATTCAATGTAGTGTTACTTTCCGTTCAATCTAAGACATATTCATAAAATGTCACTATTTCATGCAAAATGTCATCACAGTAATGATACATACTTACAACCCCACTACATAACCACATATTAGTGGAATGTCACTTTTCATACAAAATGCCACCATATACTTCTTTATTTTGCACTATTCTGTTGTATAACAACATGACAAACTAAAAATGATCTGCTAAATTCTCACTAAACTGTCATTTATGCATCAGATTCTGAAGTTCTAATTCAAACTAACGCATATTCATAAAGTCTCACTAATTCACGCAAAATGTAACCATAGTCTTCATACACACTTAAAATTCCACCATATAACAACATGATGTAATCAAATGTTATTAAAAATGTCATTTACTTTACTGTTAATGACATACAGTTCATGATTCGATATTTTTCGCGGCAAATTTAAAACCTATTTACATTCAAACGATTCAAACATTCTAAACTCCTTTAACTGTCAAACTATTGTCAATTTCAGGCATTCCTCTAAGAAATTACTACTTACCATTTCAGAATTGATTCTGACGGAAACTTTGTTTGACAAATCCATAGCTCCGTCCATCAACTCTACTCAACGATTCAACTCTCCTCAAATTTGAGCGTCGTCTAAGACGAAGGTTTACTACCTCTGTGCTTTGAAGTTTTGAAGCGAAGTGAACTTTTGATCGTCGTCAAATGACTGTCTCTTCAATTGCAGCTCTCAACTGTAAGTCTCCCGATACATGTTCATTTAATTTGGAATCTTTTTTTCGGCGGCATGATGATAATGGATGTTTGGAAACCGGGATAGCCGTAAGGAGAGAGAATTAACCGTCAATGAGGTAAGAATACGTGTATCGATTTAATGGAGGTCATTTTTGGCAATTCAGCGTATATTTGGTCCTATGCGAGTTGGGGGGAAAATGGATGTCCTATTTTTGAAATTTTGAAAAGTAATAGTCCTATTTTGTAAAATTTCTCTCGTTGTATTAACCCCCTTATGACCAAGAAGTCAAGTTTAATGGTGAAATGGAGAGTTTTGCACTTTTGCTGGACTATCAACTTTACCATTTTCAATTTTCCAAAGGTCACCCTCCTTATTCTTTTTTTGTTTTGCCTTCAAAAAAGATCCCTTGTGATGAAGGGCTCTTTGCACTACCTTTTTTCTCTTTGCTGAACTCCGGCTTAGGCTTAACGACGGCACTTTGATCGGACGGGATCCCGGTTGGACTCTCTCAGGTTGATTGATGGCTCCAGAGGAAGACAGGAGAAGGCGAATCCTCTTCAAAGATCGACCCGAATGGGCAGACGTTAGGCCTGTGCGACAAGACGACGGGCCTAACCCTGTTGTCTCCATAGTTTACAATGAGGAGTTCTCCGATGCAATGGGATATTTTCGGGCAGTTTACCTCACCGACGAGCGATCTACCCGAGCTCTTCAGCTCACTACAGAAGCCCTCGGACTTAATCCCGCCAACTATACTGTGAGTGCAACTCCTGAAGTACGGTGTACACCGTATTATTGAGCTACATTAGATGTTCTTTAACATGAAGATACTTGTTTCCTTATGTATAATTTGTATGTTTAGAAGTGAGATGTTTATAACTTCTGTTTGGTTTGCTTCTTGCTTTTTCTCTTAATTTTTAATGAATAGATTTGGCAATTTAGGCGTCTGGTGCTTGAGGCATTGGGGTCTGATTTGCACGAAGAATTAGAGTTTGTTGATCGTATTGCGGGAGGCAACCCAAAAAACTATCAAATATGGTATCAAATCTGCTTTGCTATTTGCCTATTCCAATGCCTTTAAGTAATATTTTTGTGTATGCCTTTAAGTGAAGTTTAGTGGTCTAAAGTATCTCGGAGTATTTAAGTAACCATTCCCTGCCTGAAATTATCAAGCACTCTATGAAATTATATTGCATTTTGGATATCATAAGTGAACCATCTTTTTTTACCTTCATCTGCCTTTTATGTTTCAATCTAACTATGCACATACTTGATAGTCCAAATCCGATGGTCCCACCTCCAATGCAGCCCCTTATATCTGTATTTCTCTGAAGTTACTTGTTGACTTCCTTTTTAGATCCATTTCATTGTTTCTATCAGAGTTTATATTGGTTTGCATAGAGAAAATTTGGCACTGGAAACAAAAAATTCTTACCCTACTTAATCACTGCCAGAGTTTAAGTCTGTTCCTTTGAAAAAATAAAACTAAATATCACCCCAAGTAAAATGACACAACCCCTCCCTTTCATTATCTGTTACTCTTTGTAATGTCTAGCTTTTATCTTAAAAGTCTTATTATTTATAAAATCTTGCCCCTACTTTTTAAATCCGTTCATCATTATTTTCAAATTTGGTCTTTTGTGTTTGATATACTGCCTTTATTCTAGGAGTTGCAGAACTGCGCTCTGACTTTTTTAAAACATGTTGGTAGCACACGTTCTTCTTGGAAAAGATGGGAATTTTTTCAGTGCATCTAGTTTAAATTCTACTATCTGCTAACTGTTTTTTCAGTTTATCTGGAGTACTAAATATACGAGTGACTGATAGTGTTGATATTTGCAAACAGTGAAACAGATGCTGACTTTGCCAAGGAAAGTCACACTTTTTTATTTACTCATGTTGCTTTATTGTAAATACCCTCTTAATTTAGTTCGTGTGCCATTAAGATCATACTCTTAGTTACTTGGAAATTTGAATGCAGTTAAATGTTCTTAGTTTGTGTTCCCACCTTGTGATGTGCTTCGTGAAACAAACTCCATTTGTTCTTCATTCTTCTAAATGATATTATTCTTGTATCTTCAGTTGCATGTATCTTTGTATCTAATCCAATTGAAAAAGGTTCAAGGAAAAGTAATGGTGAGTGGCGTTTGGTATTTTACATGTGTCATGTAGGCATCACAGAAGGTGGGTTGCTGAGAAGCTAGGAACTGATGTGATGCATAAGGAGCTTGAGTTCACGAAGAAAGTATTCGATCAGGATGCAAAAAATTATCATGCATGGTCGCATAGGCAGGTAATATGATTCACCTAATTTCAGTGGTCAATGGTGAACCTTGTACCTGTCATGTATTTATGTTGGCTTTCCAAGGGGTGTGGGTCTTTTACACAGGAAAAGTCATATGGAATGTATCTTTAATTTATTTATGCAACTACAATAATGAAAAGAAGTTTCAAAATGCAGTGGGTTCTTCAGACACTTGGTGGGTGGGAAGATGAACTTTCTTATTGTCATCAACTACTCAAAGATGATGTTTACAACAATTCAGCATGGAATCAGGTATTGATAGATCTTGAATTCTTTATGTTGCTTTTGTAAGTTGGAGTTGTGATGCCACAATTTGGGAAACTTATTTAGTTTTTTTCCTGTTTCCTTTATCATGATTTAGATATTAAATTCTGTTAGGACAACAGTAACTGCTTGATTATGGTTACACATTTCATCAGACAGTTTTTTTGCTCTTAGGCAACATTAATAAGCTGTAACGCAGTGTAATCAATTGTATTTTTGGAGTAAAAAGATTGCACCAGCACATACGTTGCATTTTGTTTTATTACATCTTCCCGAACAGCACTTTACTTCCTTCATTTTCTTAAATCTGGCGGGTGGGCAGATAGCTGGACTTTATGATGTTAACAGGAAGATGTGACAACAAGGACATGATGACTTTCAGAGTGCGTTGTTTCAGAATAAAATAAGATATGATTAATGTCATATTGTCATTCACCTTACAATATCTGGTTGGTTGGAATAGGAAATGAGTAGCCAATATGACTAAAGGTTGATGGATGGGGTGGCTAAGTTAATTGAAATTCTGAGACTTGTTTGGGTTTTGGAATATTACTTCTGGGTAAAATGGTTCTAGATAGAAAGAGTCCTTCCTTTGGGGTGTTTGCATATTCCAAATGAAATTCAAATCAAGCTCAATGTTGATGGACGTTTTGGATAGGCAGAGAACCAAGTAGAAGGGTTTCTTTTTTGTAGAACAGTTTTAATATACCTAAGGGAATAAAGTAATTGAGATTTTTTCATGACAGAGATACTTTGTGGTTACAAGATCACCTCTTCTAGTTGGAGGCCTGGTAGCAATGAGGGAGTCAGAAGTGAGATATGCAGTTGAAGCCATCAAAGGTACCCCTGACAATGAAAGCCCATGGAGATATCTCCGAGGTCTTTACAAAGGCGATGTACAATCACTGATGAGGGACCCTCAGGTGACATCAACTGTTTTGGAGGTTTTGACTTCCAAAGCCAACAACCGTGTGCACGCCTTGAGCATGCTGTTGGATCTTTGGTGTCACGGGTTTGAACCAAGCCCGGAACTGATCAGTGCAGTTCATGATCTCTCTTCATCACCCAACTCATCATGTTCAAATCTGGGGGAAATGATCACTTCAATCTTGGAAACAATAGATCCAATTCGAACAAATTATTGGAATTGGCGCAAAACAACTTTCCCAGCCCAATCAAGTCACCCTCAAAATGAGGACCGTTTGGCAGGTTTGAGTTTATAGTATAAATAAAAGTACTCCAAAGCCGCCCTTCCTCTTTGCCCTGTTGTCTTCGTGGACTGTATTATGAAACTTATGTGTTATGTTGTTAATTAATTAAAGAAGATATGATTTTTTGGTGACATTTCTTAGTTTTGTCTACTTTTCTCAACTTGGATCATTTAGTACACAGTTTTATTTTCTCATCTCAATGAATTTACATTCAAAGCGATTATGGCAACAACTTTTGCAGATCTTCCTATATTTTTCAGTCTTCTGTTTTATCTTATGCTTAACTTTCGCTTTTTAATTGAGTAAACAGATAAGTGAGAAAAAAAGACGTGGAATAGAAGAGAGAATGGATGTAAAATGAATAGATAGAAAAGAAATTCTAGTTATGTTTTTTCTCAAAATAGAGTTTATGTAGTCCTAGTCAGGAGTGAAGCAGTTGAATATTTTTAGGAGAAAATTGTCCAATATAGGATTAAAACTCAACCTTTTTCTCAAAATAGGACCACATGCATGTTTTTCTCTAAATAGGACTAACCTTACCTTTTTTACCCCTAATTCTATTTAATTAATTAATTGATCTAAATAATTGCCCCCCTAGTTTCCTTGCACAACCAAGGCAGTCTGGAGGTGGCGGCAGCTCGGCGGCAGCGGCAGCGGAAGAGGCGGTTTCCGGTGGCGGCGGCGGCAGTGGTGGCGGTTTCCGGCGGCGGCAAGAAAATAACAGACATTAAATAGACAATAAATAGACAATAAGTAGACAATAAATAAAAAATAAATTCTGATAAACACCATTGCGGCGGCGATGGTGGCGGCGGCAGAATCTGGCGGCCAGCCAGATATTTTTTGGAATTTTCCGGCGGTGCTCCGGCGGCGGCGGCGGTGGCCGGAGGTCTGGCGGCGGTGGAGGTGGCGGCGGCAGAATCTGGCGGCCAGCCAGATATTTTTTGGAATTTTCCGGCGGTGCTCCGGCGGCGGCGGCAGTGGCCGGAGGTCTGGCGGCAGGCGGCTGGCCGGAGGTCTGGCGGCAGGCGGCTGGCAGGAGGTCCAGGGGCAGCAGTGGGGGTATTTTGGTCCAATCACAAATAAAAAGTCCTATTTAAGAATGTTTAAACTAATTGGTCTTATTTTGGGAAAAAAATCATGTTTTGGTACTATCAAGGTAAATCTCCCTATTTTTAGGAGCAAATGAATGAAAACAGTTATGTTTTGTTCCTATTTAAGAATCTTCTACAAAAATGCAAAATGAAATAAAATTAGTTTTCTTAACTGGTTTGGTTTGATTGAAAATGAAGAGGAAGAAAATAAGTTTTCTTGTGAAGACTCAGAAAAATGGTGCAAGCCCAATTATATTAGACTGAGCCCAAAACGTTGTCAAGCACTCAAGCCCCACTTGTTCTCTCTCCTCCCATTCTAAAAGGGGTAATTCTAAATACAAACCAAGTTTTACTAAATACAGCCCTAATTTAATTAAATGTCCGATTATATCCCTATTATTCGCCAGCTGAATTCGTATTTCAGTCTGTGCTTAGCTTGAATGCTGACTGCTGGAAACTGAATCTGAATCCAAAGTTATGGTTTGGTGTAAAATGGTCGCAGCAACCATTTTCAACTGAACGAAGGCCATCTCCTTTCCCAAACACATTCTTGGTCCGGCGATAAACGCCGGGAACATGTACGACGGCTCCATCTTGACCCCGCCGTCGGCTCTGGCAAAAATCCACCTCTCCGGCAACTCCATGAAGTCCTCACCCCACTCTGCCTCCATCTTCCCCGTTGAGTAGACAGAATCTACCACTCTGGTGTTGGGCTTCACCCAGTGGCCTTTGGGCAGAATGTCATCCCCCGCTGACACCTTGTGCTCAAGAGCTACCGGCTGGAATAGTCGGATTCAGGGCCGGTATGAGGCCCTAGATGGTCATGTAGAAATTTTGTTTTAAATATGTTTTATTTAACCCAATGATATAAAAAATAGCAATTAAATATAAGTAAATTACATATAAAATACATCATATACTATCTTTTATTATACAAAGCCAAAAGAAAAAATGAACAGTGTTCCCGCCCAAATTCAGTGCACTATTGGGTCGGGTCGGGTCATTATGGGTGCAGAAACGGGTCCTGGGCAGGCTTAAATGATGGCACTGAACCCAATATTTCAGTTGTTGGGCTGAAGGCTGATCATTTAATGCATTGTGCTTGGTAGTTGATAGAGGGTCATGTCAATGCACTGTTCGAAAAAATGCAGTCTGCTTTTAGAACTTACAAAATATTTTAAGTTGTCCTTTTTAACTAATGAATCACAATTAAAATCTGATTGCAGCCTTGAGGCTAAAAAAAATTAAATACATTGTACTTGATAGTTCTGAACAATAAATGGAGCCACACAAACATTTCTTGAGCCTCACAACAATAAATGCAATGTACTACATAATCTCAATGTAAAAATTGAGTGGGTATTTGTACTTGATAGTTCTGAATTGGAGCCACACAAACATTTCTTGAGCCTCACAAACAATAAATGCAATGTACTACATAATCTCAATGTAAAGATTGAGTGGGTATTTTTAACCCTTGGTTAACCCAATTGATTCACCTTATAATTAATGCATTGTACTACAAATCTTAATATTGAGATTGTGTGGTATTTTCAACCTAGGTTATTCTCTCCTTTATCCAATATAAATACCCAAGCAGGGGATGACCACAACATACCACAAACCAGTATTCAGCAGCTGTATTTTTAAGTTCAAAAGTTCAAAACCAGTGCAATGGCAACCGCTTCATCAGCACAAGGGATGTGGTCCTTGCTCAAGGATATCGATCACACAAAGACGACCTGGGCAATCAAGGTTCGGGTAGTTAGGGCATACGAAGTTCCTCCACACTCTAAGGGCGGGGAGACTCTTGAAATGGTTTTGCATGACGCAGAGGTATGGTTTGTAACATCTAACTTCTATGGCGTCTTTTGCTCAACTTTTCTTAATCCAATGTAAATTCTTACTAGGGAGATCGGATTCACGCCATTATCAAGAGGCCGCAGATAGCAATGTATAAGCCTAATATTACAGAGAACAAAATTTATGCCATAAGAAACTTTTTGGTGCTTGACAATTACCAAATAGTGAAGACTACAAGTCATCCCTACATAATTCAGTTCATCTCAAAAACCCTGTTAAGGGAAGATACGAAGACGGAAATTCCTATGATGGTCTATGATTTTCAGCCTTTTGATATGCTGCATGCCCAAAGAGTTATCAACGACAAAACTCTAATTGGTGAGTTAGAGTCAAATTTTTCCATACTACATTGCTTGCACAAATATCCTAATTACAGTTTCTATTGTTTAATTATGAAGATGTTATTGGGAAGGTTCTGTCCAAGAGCCTTATCCAGACCCACATAATCAACGGGAGGACTGATAGGCTAATGGAGTTGACTTTGACAGACCCGGAGTAAGTTTTACAACTTAAACGATTTTAGCAAAACAAAAGACACATGCTCATTGACTGAAACTTTTCTAAACTACAGGGGTAACAGATTGGGCGCCGTATTGTGGAACAAGTACATAAACCAGTATCTGGATTATGTTAATGCTAATGAAGGAGTGCCTGTCTTCGTGATATTTCAACTATGTAGGCCAAAAAGATACCAAGGTTTGAGAAACTTAGCAGCATTCATTATGTAGTACACAGTAGCCAAAGCTTATGGTAGTGCTGTTTTAAACACAGGGATCTTGACAGTGAATTCGTCTTTTGATGTATCAAAGCTCATAATCAACGGGAACACTACTGAGTTTTTAGAGTTCCAAAGCGAGTATGCGTATTAAATCTCCTAAAACTAAACTCTGACTACCCAATTTCATAAAAAATCTCCTAAAACTCAAGTATCCTAGAACTAAAGTCTGTTTACCATGCAATATACAGGTTTCCAGCAGATGGTGATGACACCACGACTCAAACCTGCAACACGCAATGCTCACATGCGGAAGGGAGGGATGATATACTCGGTGGAAATGCTGTCATTACCACCATGGAGGATTTGATGAAGGCAACTGAGGTGTGTCCTGAAGCTAGAGTCATAGATTTCGCATTTTGAATAAATATATCCACTGTTAATAAGAAAATTATACTTGGATAGGAGAATGTTTATTGGGTACTTGCTGAGATAGTTTCTATAGAAAACTATCGATAATGGTGCTACCTAAGTTGCCCGACATGCCACAAAAAATTGCAACCAGAAGAGGAACGGTTTAGGTGTACAACTTGCAGCATGTCTATGGCAGAAGGAGTTTATCGGTTCATTACTTAACCTAATGTGCTTTTATGGGTGTAGGATGTTCACGTTTTTATTTTAGTAATAAAAATTGTTACTCTGATGATTCAGCTACAAGGTCAGTGTGTGTATTATGGACAACACAGGGTATGGAAACTTCATGTTATGGGACAGGGAATGCATAGAAATTCTGGGTAAAACTTCAGCAAGTCTTAAAGCCGAGGTGGAGAAGGTAACACAATAACCCGTTAGCAGTGTTTACTTTATCAGACCTTCAATCAATTATGGATGGGCTAACCACATAACTTGGAAAACACAGAAAACCGGGGATCCAAGTCGCTTTCCGAAGACATTGAAAACTTGGTTGATATAAAGGGAATTTTCCAAATACAGCTAAGGAAGAAGAAAGGTGAGGAAAATGCCTATAATGATGGGATTTCTCTAGGGGTAGTTAGCATCATAAGAGATCCTAATGTTATCTCAATGTATGAGAAGAAAGAGCACTTGGAAACTAATGAAATTGATGAGAGTACACCAGAAAAGGTATTTAGAAAAATTATTAATTTGTGTATTTGGGCCTTGAATAAATAAAGATGACAACTAACTTAAAATCATTTTTTTGCAGATTGGTTCAAATGCAAATTTAGGAGAAACCTCCATCAGAGAAAAATCAACTGTCAGTAAGGGCAAGGGGAAACGAATTTCGGCAGAAAAGGAGGTAAGCGATCGACTGTTAAGAGGTATATAATATTTTCGTTCAAAATTCTGTAGACGGTTCACTAAACAGCTATATTACTGCTAGGTTTCTGCACCAATTGAGCTTCCCGACACACCTACGGAATGTACCCAAAGGGAGGTCAATGTTGAATTAAATGAAGAGGTCAAAAGAAACTTGAATGATGAATTTTCAAGCACTGGGAATGGCAAGAAGCTGAAGATCAAAATCAAACAGGAACCGCTCTAGAGCGGGTTCAGTTCATGAATAACATTGATGATATTTTGTTGGCACCTACTATGGTGTTTATTGTTATTTGAAAACAGTTTCATGCACAGGACGTATGCCTTCTCTTTTTGGGATAACTGAAAACTGTGTAACAGACCATTAAACACTACTTTATGACTATTGTGTGGTGTGCTATTATGTTTTGACTATGTTCAGGATGTTTTGTATCTATATTGGGTAGTTTTGCAGGATTTCAGAGAAGGGATATTCCTAAACCATTTAGGGAAGTTTATGCTCATAATATCTTTGTATTTTATAAACAGACCTTTGTTTTCACACTAACGCTTTGCTAATGGTTTTCAGGATGATGAAAAAGTTTTGGGTTAAGAAAAATGCTACCAATGGTGTGAAGAATGGCTTAACTGCTAGACGAGAGCATGGGATGGTGTGAATAAACGATTGTGTGGTGTGCTATTATGTTTAGGATGTTTTGTATCTATATTGGGCATTTTTGCAGGATTTCAGAGAAGGGATATTCCTAAACCATTTGGTGAAGTTTATGCTCCTAATATCTTTGTATTTTATAAACAGACCTTTGTTTTCAAACTAACGCTTTACTAATGGTTTCCAGGATGATGAAAAAGTTTTGGGTTAAGAAAAATGCTACCAATGGTGTGAAGAATGGCTTAACTGCTAGACGAGAGCATGGGATGGTGTGAATAATGGCTTAACTGCTAGACGAGGCATGTGATGATGTGAATAATGGCTTAACTGCTAGATTTACTATGAAACATGTAAATGTGTAAACTCTAAGAGGCATTACGTAAACAAGTCAATGTGTACTCTTATGATTTCAAAAGTGTAACATTTGGATTGGAAATTCTAATACAAGTGTATTACATTTAAAAATCTATGCAATATTCTTTGGTTGCAATTTGACAATTGGCAATTTGATTCAACAACTTGCATAATTTTAAATAACCAAGTGAGGTAAAGAAGTTCATACCTTAGTCTTTTGCAGAATGGAGGGTTACCTGCAATCCTTATTTACTAAATAATATTACAAACCTTTTAAATTTTACATAAATGGCAACCTTCTAAGGTCCCAGAACTATTCCTATTACAATTTTCTAGATAGAGTTTTTAAACCTGTTCAACCAGAAAATTACACCTTTCAAAACGTATTAAAAGAGTTATTATTACTATGAACACACTCTTGGATAAAAGTACAAATAAGTTTAAAAAAATGTCTGTTAGAAAGTAAAATTTTGGAATATTTTAGTACATAATGTTGCAATATCAAACATGAAGTAAATTTTATGTATTAAAGCTTATTCGAAATTGTTATTCAAAAATAAAAACTTGGTTAGCCATTGCTAAGAGTTATTATTATAAATCAATACACTTGGGAGTTGTGGTATCTTTGACAAAATTGGAAAATAGAAATCTGAAATTAAGTCCATTTTTTGGGAATAAAAATGTGGTAATAATATCTGCCCAAAATGTCATTGAAGTGTTTGTATTTTGAAATTCTTCAAAAATAGAACCATGTCTAAGTAAATATATTTAGTATGGAATGATGTCAAGTAACAAGTAAATATTTGTAAAGATGTCAAAAGCTTGAATATAATAGAAATTTAACCAACATGTGAAAGGGATGTTTGTTTCTGAATGGTATGGAAAGATATATTTAGTATGGATAAAAATATATGAGAAGTACATGATTCCACTTAGCATTTTGGGCATGTCTATTTCGGCCATATATGTATCCCAGGTATTTTGGGTTTCAAATACGTGAGTTTTAAAAAGGCCTTACCATTGAAATAAATAAATTAAATTAAATTGAATCAATACATATCCAAAGGAATTCTGAAAAGTAATATAAATATATTTATGCACGAAGTGCAAATGGATTTAGCAGAATAATAAAAGATATTTATTGTAAAAGTTTATAAAGAGTATTTAGCAGAATCAAGATCCAAACCTGCCCAAGTTCCCTGTGTACTAATAAAGGTACCAGCTTCCAATGTTGGAGATTGTGTGGCTCAAGAGAGCATTAATGAGTAGTATAATAGATTTAAAACTTTGTACTTTAAAAACACATTATTTCTTGGGAGCTAGGTTATATATTTTTACTTAAAAAATAAGGGACAAAATATATAAAAAACATTAAATTGTTTTCAAATAATCGGAAATTATTTTTGGAAAAGTATTCAAAAAATTTGAAAATAAATTTTAGAAAAATAAATTATAACGCGAATATTAAAAAATTATTATAAAATATTCATACAACAAGTTGGTTTTAATTTATTTGATGTAAAAGTTTATAGAGTATTTAGCAGAATCAAGATCAAAACCACCCAAGATAGCTGTGTACTTGAAAGCTGCGGGCAATTAATGCAGGCAACAACTTCCAATTTTGGAGATTGTGTGGCTCAAGAGAGCACAAATTTAAAAGTGTATTTTAAAAACACATTATTTTTACTAAATAAATAAAGTACAAAATATATTAAAAAATAAAATAATTTCAAATACGTAACAATTATTTTTGGAAGTGTATCCCTAAAAATTTCAAAATAAATTTTGAAAAAAACAATTAAACGCGAACACCAAAAAACTATTAGAAAATATTCATAGATAACAAAATAATTAAATCTGCACGTTTTTAAAATTTGGGGCTGTGCTTAAAGGTAATCATGACATATGAACAAAACCGTTCATTAAGTACAATGGTTAGTAGGGTTCGAAACAGTCAAGGGGCAGTCATTATTGTAAAGCACTTGAGTATCACTACTCAAAAATATTAATACAACACAGTGTATTAATTCTAGGATGGAATGTAGGTCTGCTGGAATTAAATGAAGATGTACAACAAATATTATAAAATATTCCAGAAAGGTAACTTACCAATATTGTAAAGTGAGTGAATATGTAACTTCCAATGCATTTACTCCATGCTCAGAAGCTCATGATAGTTCTGAACTGGAGCCACACAAACATTTCTTGAGCCTCACAAACAATAAATGCAATGTACTACATAATCTCAATGTAAAGATTGAGTTGGTAAGTCATTATTGTAAAGCACTTGAGTATCACTACTCAAAAATATTAATACAACACAGTGTATTAATTGTAGGATGGAATGTAGGTGTGCTGGAATTAAATGAAGATGTACAACAAATATTATAAAATATTCTAGAAAGGTAACTTACCAATATTGTAAAGTGAGTGGATATATAACTCCCAATGCATTTACTCCATGCTCAGAAGCTCATTTATGAGCTCAACCAAAAATTCTAACAATTGAAACTGTGAGAAAGGCTCAAGAATATCTACGACCAGTGCAATTGAGTGTGAAGAAAAGATATGTTTCATAACTCATTATTGATAATGCTATATGAAACTATGCAATGAACACTAATACCAAATGCATTTAAACTGATTACAACACTTAAAATCCTTTTATTTGTAAAAGATAATTGTATTTTTTTTCTTTGTAATGAAAGATGAGAAGCTGTTCATGCAACAAATGTTCTCAACCAAAATGTCATACATGTGGACACTATCCTGGACTCTCTTGGTTGCAACCATGCTCTTTGTGTAATGGGAATTTAAGTCACTTTTACTGCATGAGGCCAGTAAACAAAAATAGGGGTACTGGCAAATACTTATGCAAAGATTGTCAAGAATGGTTAGATGCAAGACCAATGATACCTAGAAGATCAGTGTGGACAGTCACACTTAATCAAAAGTACTTCAATGAAAAACTTTGTGTGGGGATGAATTTTAGTTGGCTTAACTAGGAATGACCTTAGTAATGCATTTATATGATTAAAATATGCATATGTTTTTGCTGGATATGTTAAAGCCAATTGGAATGAACTTAGTAATGCATTTCAATGAATGAAATATGCTTATGTTTTTGCTGGATATATAAAAGGGCAAAACAGATTAGAATTTTGTTGATTGGGTGGATAGTATGTTCATGCCATGTTATATTCCTAAAGGGATGTGTCTATGTAATCCATGATATGCTTTATGCAGACCATGTCATGCTTTATGAAATGCAATGTTTAATGTTGTATGCATATGCAGTTTTGAAGTTTCAGTGTTTCAGTTGTGCAACAGCTGAAGAATGACTTAATTTATGCATTTGACAGATGTTTTAGTGTATAGAAAAGTTCAGAAAACCAATTTCGATGCAAATGCATATCATAAGAAATTACTCATTAGTTGAGATGCAGACTATTAAGGATCAATGGTGATCTGGTGTTTCAACTTATCAGGCCAACGAACTGCCAGACCACGCAGTTCCGAAGGCCACTTTGGTGGCTGGCAGGGCATCTGACAGTCCTATGGGATGGGCCATGAAAACCAGAAATACCAAATTGAACCGGTTTGAAAATTTGTTTATGAAAGCGACAACTTAAAATAAACGTCTTAGTATAAATAAAAAGTATTCCAGTCTTCCAAAAGCTGTATTAACACCATGTCGTTTTGGTTTCAAAACAGTTCTTCAATGAAGAGGATCACCAAAAGCACAATAATCAACCCTAAAAGAAGAGTTGAAGACCTGACTAACAAAGGTAGTTCAATATTTTCAAAATAATTTTGGAAATTTGTAATGGAAAATTAGTTAAATATGCATTTATGATTTCAGTGGTATAACAAGAATATTATAACATAATTTTAATTACATACATTACAGATACTACATATAATAATAGTGTTTTGATAATATTAATAGCAACCCAGCCCGATAAATAAATTATAAAACTAAATCAGACCAACAATGTTTTATTAAGGGCAGGTTCTTCCTAATTAAGTCCAACACCCCAGCATATAGAAAATTTTAGTAAAGATGTATATTTGAAAAGACCATAACACAGAATACAAAAATCTTTTATTAAGGGCAGCTTCTTCCTAATTAAGTCCAACACCCTAGCATATAGAAATTTTTAGTAAAGTTCAGAGAACCAATTTCGATGCACATGCATATCATAAGAAATTACTCATTAGTTGAGATGCAGACTATTAAGGATCAATGGTGATCTGGTGTTTCAACTTATCAGGCCAACGGACTGCCAGACCACGCAGTTCCGAAGGCCACTTTGGTGGCTGGCAGGGCATCTGACAGTCCTATGGGATGGGCCATGAAAACCAGAAACACCAAATTGAACCGATTTGAAAATTTGTTTATCAAAGAGACAATATGAAATAAACGTCTTAGTATAAATAAAAAGTATTCCAGTCTTCCAGAAGATGTATTAACACCATGTCGTTTTGGTTTCAAAACAGTTCTTCAATGAAAAGGATCACCAAAAGCACAATAATCAACCCTAAAAGTCCAACACCCCAGCATATAGATTTTTTTAGTAAAGATGTATATTTGAAAAGACCATAACACATAATACAAAAATCTTTTATTAAGGGCAGCTTCTTCCTAATTAAGTCCAACACCCTAGCATATAGAAATATTTAGTAAAGATGTAGTTTTGATAAGACCATAACACAGAATACAAAATCTTTTTTAACACAGGATAACTCAGGAGCCCCAGGAAAATTCCAACTCTGGGTAAAATATGAATCTGTAAAACCAGATTCTATCTATAAGTCCAAAACAACAACCTTTCGTAGATGTAAAACAGGCTTTCAAAGGCCATTAACAAAACAGACCGGTCACCTTTACACCAAAAAAAATAGGCTTAGTAAATAATCCGAACAGAATAAAACTAAAATTTTAAATGTTTTTAAAATATCAATAAGCCCAAGACGTAAACAGATCTGAGATCCTTTAGAATCACTCAGGGATTAAGCCATGTATGAGACCAATCCAAAACATGAAAAAGTTAGATGTAAGATTCAGGAGTATTCGAGAATAATAAAGTCTGAGATTGATATGTTTCACTCGGATTTTTTATTGAGTCTGAGATGAACTATTCCACAG